ATATATATATATATTTTTTTTTTTTTTTTTTTTGTTGGGGGTCACTGTAAGATTTAAATTTCTTAATGCACTAGTTTGTACAATCTACAAACTACTTTGCAGCAAAACGCGCAGAACCATCATTTAAATAGGGTGTCTCCAACAGCTTTGCACCTGCCACCAGTTACGCAATCACTCTTGTTAAATCACCCGCAAACCATGGTTCAGCCCCTTGCGCAAAATTCCAGTTTGCGAGCGCAAATTACTGCACGCAAAATTGGATCTTGATAAATGCGGCCCATAGTAATGGTTTCCACAAGCCAGACTCCTTCTCAGGGATTTATTCATAACATTTTACTATTTTACTCCACTGTCTGTAACTTGTTGTTTTACCTCTATTGGAGACTTTCACAGTTTTTTCTGCAGGCTTTAAGTTAGTGAGCAAAACTTTGTCTAGTCAGAACAAGGCAGAGCTTCGAGCTGTGTGTTATGATCTATCGTTTCTCTCCTCTTTGAATAAAATGCTGACTGATTGACAAAAACAAACCAGAAACCATGGAGACGGAGTGAGACGGAATTGGAGGAAGTTAGGCAAGGAACCAGCAGAGAGGAACTGCATAAGGAGAGTATTTATGGGAGACTAAACAAAGCGAGGACTCATCAGCAGATTGGGAGCAGGTGTGAACAGAGCAGACAGGCAGGGAGCTAGGGAAAAAGGAGAACACAAAAGGGCAGCAGAAGGCAACAAATAAGAACCTGAAAAATAACCAGAGAACACAACAAAATAAGAATTAAACCACTAAAACATGGAGCAAAGTAAAACTGAAAATTGAAAAGAAAACATTACAGAACCAAGACTGACAATGCCCAGCTAAACTCTGAGTTTTTCCTTTTTTCTAGCCTTCCCTCAGAAGCTGCCTAAACCCGCCATATTTTGGTTGTCCTGATTTTTTAATCATGCCCCACTTCTCAGGCCCCCTCCACCAGCCCTGCTTGAATACATTTTTGGTTTGGACTTGGTCCTTTTGTGGGTCTCCGGATATTTAGGGCCGGATCTATCAAAGGTTTGCGTGTATAAAAACGTGAGCTATTTCACTGCGCACGCTAAAAAATTTACAAACTGATCTATCAACAGCGTGCTAAAAGGATTTGGTCTTTAAAACGTGCTAAATAGCGCCTCTTATCCATTTAGTACTTTTTCTGCAATGAATATGCAATATGGGGCGTTTACACGCAAAAGTGCGTCTTGTGGGAGGAGAACATGTAAATATATTAATTTAGCACTCGCAAAGTGATTTATCAAACCTGAAAGCAATTTTGCTAACGGTATCTGACTCTATATTTAACACGTTTCAAAAGAAGGTGCAAATGTATGGAGAGATATTTGTGCCATCGGTTTGAGCGCGCAGGAACCAATCCGAGCGCGCAGTGAGACAACACGCGCGCGCGCAAAACCGGTCTGGCGCGCGCTCAACTCTGAAAAACCCTCTCAACACACTGTTCTCGCGCTCAGTTTCATCTCTGCGCGTGCTCGAATCCGTCTCTGCTCGCGCTTGCTCTCCTGCTCTCTCTCTGCGCTCAACACCAGCTGTGCGCTCGGCTGTTTCTCCGCTCGCTCGACTCTCTGCGCTCGCAACTTCAGCAATGTATGTAAATTAACCATACCATCAGCCAATCACACCCAGCTTCTTTTCATCCAATGAAAGCATTCCTTCCTTCTTCTTCTTCTTTTCTATCATGGCGGATCGCAAGCAACTTCAAGGTGCATACCGCCACCTACTGTTCATGAGTGTGTAGCAACATTGTTTTACATCTATTAAATTCTATTTTTTAATTTTGCATTCTGAAGATAACCAAATAATGCTTTCCTTAATCTATAAACATCCTTTATATTTCCTTTATTTCCCAATAATCCTTTAAGACTCCATTCTTGGCCTGTCATTTCAACTACTCTTCTCAATTTTTCCCTTTCAGGTTCATATGTTTTACAGTTCATTAATATGTAAGCATTCGTTCCAAATACTACATCCGGTTAAATGAAAAAAAATACATAAATAAATAAAAACACAATCAGGAAAATCAAACTACTCTTACAGTTATTTTGTCAACATTCCTAAGATAGTACTATAAAATATCTTGAATTATCTCAAATAAACTTCAGTAAAACAGTTATTAGATCATTGCCTCATCCATCTCTTTTACCTGCTATTGACATGGATTTAAATTTGCTGTTTTAAAAGAAAAATAAGGAGGATATTTCAGGTTCCAGTATGGTTCAACAGTATATAGATAATGTTTTGGATCATATTGGCCTTACTCTTAGCTTTTGTGGCGGGTGTTTCTTCTTTTTGTTGTTTTTTATGGAGGTTGGCAAACAACAATTACCGCTACCAACTGAAAAATCCTGTTTATCAAATTATTCTTTTTAATATATATAATAAAGAATAACCCTCTTATTTAGAGTCCATCTGTAAAAGGTCTTCTAAATAATAATTGTTAAATTTCAGATCAGGTCTGCTGTCTGAATAATTGCGTTTAAATTAATATAACGGTCGCTGATCTAAAATCAGAGCAAACTAAACTTCTTAATGGAACGATTTCTTCAATCCATTGTAAGGCCAATATGATCCAAAACATTTCTCCTTTGTAGGCTGAATTCCATCACTGATTCTTTTACCCGATTTAAAAATAAATTATGAAACTAAAACAAAACACCATTCCTAATATTGGAATATTTTGAAGCATCCATAAAAAATTTTACATATCCATAATATTTTTTATCTATATATTGTTGAACCATACTGGAACCTGAAATATCCTCCTTATTTTTCTTTTAAAACATCAAATTTAAATCCATGTCAATAGCAGGTAAAAGAGATGGATGAGGCAATGATCTAATAACTGTTTTACTGAAGTTTATTTGAGATAATTCAAGATATTTTATAGTACTATCTTAGGAATGTTGACAAAATAACTGTAAGAGTTGTTTGATTTTCCTGGTTGTGTTTTTATTTATTTATGTATTTTTTTTCATCTAACCGGATGTAGTATTTGGAACGAATGCTTACATATTAATGAAATGTAAAACATATGAACCTGAAAGGGAAAAATTGAGAAGAGTAGTTGAAATGACAGGCCAAGAATGGAGTCTTAAAGGATTATTGGGAAATAAAGGAAATATAAAGGATGTTTATAGATTAAGGAAAGCATTATTTAGTTATCTTCAGAATGCAAAATTAAAAAATAGAATTTAATAGATGTAAAACAATGTTGCTACACACTCATGAACAGTAGGTGGCGGTATGCACCTTAAAGTTGCTTGCGATCCGCCATGATAGAAAAGAAGAAGAAGAAGGAAGGAATGCTTTCATTGGATGAAAAGAAGCTGAGTGTGATTGGCTGATGGTATGGTTCATTTACATACATTGCTGAAGTTGCGAGCGCAGAGAGTCGAGCGAGCGGAGAAACAGCCGAGCGCACAGCTGGTGTTGAGCGCGGAGAGAGAACAGGTCGAGCGAGCGCGAGCAGAGACGGATTCGAGCACGCGCAGAGATGAAACTGAGCGCGGAGAACAGTGTGTTGAGAGGGTTTTTCAGAGTTGAGCGCGCGCCAGACCGGTTTTGCGCGCGCGCGTGTTGTCTCACTGCGCGCTCGGATTGGTTCCTGCGCGCTCAAACCGATGGCACAAATATCTCTCCATACAAATGGTCTGTATGCGTGCGCACACATGGCAGCGAATATTGTCGCAAGAAGGAGACATTGAAATGAAGCAAGGAGACGCAGAGAACGCATTTTTTCACTCCGTGTGAATATTTTTGGAATGAACGAGGAAACGATCATCAAAACATGTCGTTTATCCAGCATTGCCATTTTGGAGCTGTTGGAGGAACTCAGAATGGATTTGGAGCCAGCCACAAGGAGGACCCACGCAATACCAGCTATCACAAAACTCCTTGCAACGTTGCACTTTTTTGCATCTGGGTCATTCCAGCGTACGGTTGCAACGAGAACTGGGATCTCCCAATCTCGTTTTTCAGAAGTGCTGTCCGACGGGGTCGGGGTTCTCCCCCTGCGCCTGTGGAGCAACATGCCAATGCTGCGGGGATGCGTAATCTCATTCACAGTCACTTCTTGTGAGCCATTTGGTGTGTGCATTTTTCTACAGGCCAATACAAAACACCTGTTTTTTTGTTGTTTTTTTTTACTGCAGTGAAGTAGAAATTCAGCCACACCACCTTAGGGAATAAAGGTTGCCAAAGTTTTTTCTTTATATATCACTGTAAGATTTAAATTTCTTAATGCACTAGTTTGTAGAAACTACAAACTACTTTGCCGCAAACCACAAAACGCGCAAAACCATCATTTAAATAGGGCGTCTCCAACATTTTTGCACCTGCCACTAGTTACGCAATCGCTCTTGTTAAATCACCCGCAAACCATGGTTCAGCCCCTCGCGCAAAATTCCAGTTTGCGAGCGCAAATTACTGCACGCAAAATTGGATCTTGATAAATCCGGCCCTTAGTCTTTTTGTTTTCCTGTTTGTGTTAGTTTTATACTTTTTCCTTTTTTTTCTTTTTTCCTTTTCCTTGTTATTTGGCTGTGATCTTTACTGACAATTCTGTTAAGCATACTTTAAGTTTCTTAGTATGTATGAGCTTGAGTTATTTCTGTAACAACTGTTTGGGGTTTCATTATGTCTCTGTCTGAGAAGCATATGCTGGGAGACAAGAATACAACATTTAGTTTTTAACAAGTGTATTACGTACATCCTTACATTAGGCAAGATTATGATCTTGGCTCTACATGGTTGTGTTCTACTGTCTGTCCATACAGTATGATGATTCGATAAAAGACATGAACATATTTCCTTGACCAGATTTCACCTTGATTGGGTGCATTTTTTAAATATTTGTTACTGTCAGGGAGGCTACCATACCGGTTTAGTTTTTGATAAACAACATATCTTAGCTGGTTCTTTTAAGATCTCCGCCCATTGCTCTACTTTGGCAACACATGACTTTGAATGCTTAGATTCAGATCAAAGGGTTTAAAGGTATGTCTAAAAGCTCATACACCTCATTCACTGCAGCAGAAGACTAGAGTGCTGTTTCATTCACAATGAAAAAGTCTTTTTTTCTAAGGGGAAAGGTTGAACAGACAGGAGTTCAGCTGGACCATGGAAAGTTCTCTTGTTCCATCTGTTTGGACTTACTGGATGATCCAGTGACTACTGCCTGTAGACACAGCTACTGCATGAACTGTATTAAAGACCACTGGAAGGGAGAGGACCAGAAGGGATCTTACAGCTGTCCTCAATGTAGAGAGACCTTTATGCAGAGACCTGTCTTGAGGAAAAACACCCTATTAGCAGAATTAGTGGAGGACCTGAAGAAGATTGGACTTCCAGTTGCTCCCGCTGATCAATGCTCTGCTGGACCCGATGATGTGGCCTGTGATGTCTGCACTGGAAGGAAGAAGAAAGCTGTGAAGTCCTGTCTGGTTTGTTTGGTGTCCTACTGTACGAATCACCTTCAACCTCATCATGATGTCAATCAGCTTAAGAAACACAAGCTTGTGGAGCCCTCCAAGAAGCTGCAGGAAAACATCTGCTCTCGTCATGATGAGGTGATGAAAATCTTTTGTCGTACTGATCAGCGATGTATCTGTTACCTCTGCTTGATGGGTAAACATAAAGACCACGATACTGTCCCAGCTGAAGCAGAAAGAACTGAGAAGCAAAAGGAACTTGAGTTGACTATGCAACAAAACCAGCAAAAAATCCAAGACAGAGAGAAAATTTTGAAGTTGCTTCAACAAGAGGTGGAATCCATCAATGCCTCTGCTGATAAGTCAGTGCAGGAGAGTGAAAAGATCTTCACTGAGCTGACCGTTCTGATCCAGAAGAGAAGTGTTGATCTGAAAGAGCAGATCAGATCCCAGCAGAAAACAGAAGTGAGTCGAGTCAAAGAGCTTCAGGAGAAGCTGGAGAAGGAAATCGCTGAGCTGAAGAAGAAGGATGCTGAGCTGAAGCAGATCGCAAAAATGGAGGATCACAACCAGTTTCTGCAGAGCTACATCTCCCTGTCAGAGTCCACACACCCACCCAGCATTAACGTTCATCCAGTGAGCTACCTACAGGATATCACAGCCGCTGTGTCCCATCTCAGGGACAAACTACAGCACATCCTGAGTGACACTTGGACAAACTTCTCACTGACACTCAATGAGGTGGATGTTTTACTGTCAGAACCTGAACCAAAGACCAGAGCTGACTTCCTAAGATATTCACAAGAAATCACTCTGGATCCAAACACAGCAAACAGTTATTTGTTATTATCTAAAGAAAATAGAAAGGCAACTTTAATGAAAGAAGAACAATTTTATTACGATCATCCTGAGAGATTCATTGATAATCTTCAGGTCTTGAGCAGAGAGAGTCTGACTGGTCGTTGTTACTGGGAGATTGAGTGGAGAGGAGAAACAGTCGAAACAGCTGTTTCATACAGGACTATCAGCAGAGCAGGAGATGAAAGTGACTTTCGATACAACGACAAATCTTGGTCTTTATTTTGTGACAAACACATTTACACATTGTATCACAACAGAGTAAAAACTCAAGTGTCTGGTCCAGTTTCCTCCAGAGTAGGAGTCTACCTGGATCACAGAGCAGGTATTCTGGCTTTCTACAGCATCTCTAGTACCATGATTCTCCTCCACAGTGTCCAGACCACATTCACTCAGCCGCTACATGCTGGAGTTGGGTTATACGAGGATGGAGACTCAGTCGAGTTCATTACAAGACAAACATGAGTGAATTCAGTTCAGATATTTAGAATGTGTACTTTTTTTTTTTTTAGATTATATCGCTATCCATTATTATTACTGAGTGCTCATTGTTAGATTATTTCTTCACTAGTCAGAGGCCATTAAGCTTCTTTGTCATCTTGATGTTTGTTGATGTTGGTTTGGTTGTAAATTATATTACTAACATTGGTTCATAAGTGTTTATTATTCTCTTGCAGCAATGACGCGTTATTTCTAAAGCGTTAAACAACAAGGTGTCTTGCTGGTGAAGATTCTCAGTCATCCATGTCATAGTCATTCCAAAAAAGTTAACAAACAATCCACTTCCGCTTCCTATCCAAAAAAGCTTTTTCACTTTAAAATGTCAGAATTAGTGTTGAGTCGGAAGCTTTATATTGTAGCCCAAAAACTTGTTTTGGCTTAGAAAACATGCAAACTGAACCGGATGAACAGGTCCGCTCCTTAGGAATGGGCATTCATTTCAAACTCTATAAAGCCTTGAACTCAACGCTATTTCTGACATTTTGAATTGAAAAAGCTTCCTGGATGGGAAGCAAAACATCTTCAAACTTGGAGACAAAATCCAATGGATTTTTTTTGTTGTACTTTTTTCAAACAAGGTGTCTTAAAATTAATTGCACAGATGCAGTCCAAAACGGCAAACTATTGTTTTGAGAAACTGTACTTAATGGTAAAAATGTGGTAAATTATTACATTGTTAAGGCCCAATTCTAAGCTTCTAAGCACATTTATGAGAGGACACGGTTAGTGCTGCAGTTTTGTTGTGTACATGTATATTTAGTAGTATTTCATGAAGTATATGGGTTACTATAAAGTGTAACAGTTATGTTTTCAGCCACCAGATGGTGCTCATGTTCTTTGGTAAATGAATTATTGCTAGTAATGCAAACCTTAACAATATTCAATGTTACGCTACATAAAAACACAAATAATTGCAATATGATCTATTTTATTTAACGGTACTGGAAAGGCATAGGTCAGATAAATATAATAAAATGCCTCGTAAATGCATTCTAGGAAGAGACTGTCAAAGATAAAAAAAGAGTGCAATAATTGAATGTAATAAATTAAAATGAAAAGTTGTATAAACGAGGAAAAGGAAATGTTTTGTTTATGAGTTAAATTATATCTTTAATCTGTATATTTTGTAGCATTCACATTAAGGCTGTTTATTAGGTACACCTTGTGTATCTAATAAAGTACCATGGAGTAGAAGCAGTATTTAGTTCCTACTGTAGGCAACACTTATCTGGAACAAACTCCCAGAAAAAGTGCTGAAAGCCTGAGTTCTTTGTCAAAGTTAAAAACCCTGTGTTGACTGTACCACTAGTTTAAGTTAGCATTTTATTGTGTTTTCTTGTATCATGTTTTTATCTTTATTTGCTTTTATTTTGATTTGATTTTTCTTTATATTTTATTTTCTAATTAATGTGAATCACTCTGAATTGTCCTATTCAAATAAACTTGCCTTTCCTTGCCTTGTATGCACCGGGTTGGAACACCTTTTAGCCTCACAACGGCCTTAAACCTTCAGGGCATAGATTCAACAGTCACTGCAAATGCTCCTAATAAGTTTTCGGTCCATATTGACAGGATAGTATTGTTATTTGAGTACAGTGAACTAGATGTGTTTAAGAAACCAGTCTAAAATGATTCACACTTCATAACATGGAGCATAACCCTGCTGGAAGTATCCATCAGAAGACCCAAAGAGGACCAAGAAATGATCTCCCACACCATTACACTGCTAGCCACAGCCTTAACCTGTCATGATCTTGGCACTGGATGACTGGATTATTGGTTTAGTTCATCCATCTGCTTAGCTCCGCACAGATTTCATTATCACTCATCAGATCCCCCTTTTCCAGTTCCTATTTAAACTGCTTGGTCCCAGCCATCGGTACCAGGTCATTCGAGCCGTAGGTGAGAGTTCTTTAGCGTATGCAGTGTGTTATTCCGATTGCCTTATCCTGACAAAGTTTCTGCTTCTGGACATCTGAGTTTGTCTGTCCCTGTTCTGATATGTTTGCCTGACCTGTCTTCGGACTTCCTTTGGATTCTGCCTGCTAATGTCCTTTGATCCGTCTCTTGACCCTGGCTTGGATTTCCCTTCGGAACCTCTTCGCATCTCAGATCTTCTGGCCTGGATGTCTGCTTCCTCATCAACACCGGCTTTGGATTCTCCTTCCAGATACTTCTGCTCTTCCTGGTCTGCTGACTTCTACTCGTCTGTGTGCTCTGCAGCACCATTGATTCTACTCCTGAAGCTCTCTGTGTGGCTTCCATCGGATGCTGTGGGAAATCATCTAATTTTAAGAGCTTTCTAACTACCTTCTTTTAGTCATTCTGCACCGTGCTACTTGGAGATATTTTCCATCATAGGATCCTTTATGAACAAGGGCCCTGATCTACCCGGAATAAACATGGTTTTCTATATCTGACCATGATGATTTTACAACAGATGTTTATAAAGCTTGAAAGAGCAACTTAAAAGACACCAAACCTTTGGTTTGGTTAAAAAACCTTAATTTAACTTCCTGAGATCAACAGTGAAATAACTCCCCCTACTGCTGCATTGTCTTTGCTCTCTCTCCTTCAGATCAAAACATTTAGAGGTGGGTCTAACTGATCCCACGCCTGATTCGCTGCAGCAGCACGTGACATTTAGAGCAGAGTTCTGTTTTGTGTGAAAACGAAACTCAAAGTTACTCCCGCCAAGAGGTGAAATGGCACAGACAGGAGTTCAGCTGGACCCAGAAAAGTTCACTTGTTCCATCTGTTTGGGCTTACTGGAGGATCCAGTGACTACTGCCTGTGGACACAGCTACTGCATGAACTGTATTAAAGACCACTGGAATGGAGAAGCCCAGAAGGGATCTTACAGCTGTCCTCAATGTAGAGAGACCTTTATGCAGAGACCTGTCTTGAGGAAAAACACTGTATTAGCAGAATTAGTGGAGGACCTGAAGAAGATTGGACTTCAAGCTGCTCCTGCTGATCAATGCTCTGCTGGACCTGATGATGTGGCCTGTGATGTCTGCACTGGAAGGAAGATGAAAGCTGTGAAGTCCTGTCTGGTTTGTTTGGTGTCCTACTGTACGAATCACCTTCAACCTCATTATTATGTCAATCAGCTTAAGAAACACAAGCTTGTGGAGCCCTCCATGAAGCTGCAGGAAAACATCTGCTCTCGTCATGATGAGGTGATGAAAATCTTTTGTCGTACTGATCAGCGATGTATCTGTTATCTCTGCATTATGGATGACCATAAAGGCCATGAAACGATCCCAACTGCAGCAGAAAGAATTAAGAAGCAGAAGGACCTCGAGATGAGTCAACTGCAGACCCAGCTGAGAATCCAGGACAGAGAGAAAGATGTGAAGTTGCTTCAACAAGAGGTGGAAGCCATCAATGCCTCTGCTGAGAAGACAGTTAAGGAGATTGAAAAGATTTTCACTGAGCTGACCGTTCTGATCCAGAAGAGAAGTGTTGATCTGAAAGAGCAGATCAGATCCCAGCAGAAAACAGAAGTGAGTCGAGTCAAAGAGCTTCAGGAGAAGCTGGAGAAGGAAATCGCTGAGCTGAAGAAGAAGGATGCTGAGCTGAAGCAGATCGCAAAAGTGGAGGATCACAACCAGTTTCTGCAGAGCTACATCTCCCTGTCAGCGCGCAATGAGTCCACACACCCACCCAGCATCAACGTTCGTCCTCTGAACTACTTTGAGGATGTGACAGCCGCTGTGTTGGAGCTCAGAGATAAACTACAGGACATCCTGAGTGACACATGGACAAACATCTCACTGACACTCAATGAGGTGGATGTTTTGCTCTCAGAACCACAACCAGCACCGAAGACCAGAGCTGACTTCTTAAAATATTCAAAACCAGTTAATTTTGATCTGAACACTCCAAACAGATATCTGTTTTTATCTGAGCGAAATAGAAAAGCAACTTTATCAACAGTAAAGCAGTTTTATCTTGATCATCCAGAGAGATTTACTGATAGGCTTCAGGTGCTGAGCAGAGAAAGTCTGACTGGACGATGTTACTGGGAAGTGGAGTGGAGAGGGAAAAGAGTAGATCTGGCAGTTGCATACAAAAGTATCAGCAGAGCAGGAAATGAAAGCGACTTTCGCTACAATGACAAATCCTGGTCTTTATACTGTAACACAGAAGGGTGTTTATTTTGGCACAATAGATGTAAGACATTCGTGTCAAGTTCAGTTTCCTCCAGAGTAGGAGTCTACCTGGATCACCGAGCAGGTATTCTGGCTTTCTACAGCATCTCTAGTACCATGACTCTCCTTTACAGAGTCCAGACCAGATTCACTCAGCCGCTACACGCTGGAGTTGGTTTTTATGAGGATGGAGCAGTTAGGTTGATTGTACTGAAATAGACAAAAATGAAATCAGGTAAAACCCTGTAGAAGACTTGTGTTACAAATATGCAAGTTTATGTTGTACCATTTCAATGATTACTTTTGCTTGGACGGACTGCACTGGTGTTGTGACAAAGAAATTATTGGCATGTCTTCATTTATATATATATATATATATATATATATATATAGCTTTGGCCTTTTTCCTTTATATCTCCCTGTACTTTTAACCTCAACATGTATCTTACTGCCGACCCCCTAGTAAAATATGTTCTTTCCAAGGTAACACTTAGTTTGGGAAGGAAAAGTATTCAAGTAGTTCTTCTCATACATGGTATTAGCTACAGAATGAGCTAGATTAGGTTGTCTGAGCAGTTTAAACAAACGCTAAACATTTTAAATAGTCAAGATCTGAATGTATATAATTGATTTTACTACCTTGCTGAATATATTTTTTATTTTATTTTCCTAATTTTCACTTATAATCATTTCATAATCAATGTTGTGATCTCAAAAGTTTCACAATATGAGTATTTTTATGTATAGTGCCTTTAATTTCTGTTTTTTGTTTTCTAGATCACCCTTGTGAATAAAAGTTTGCCTGAACTGGTCATTCCTAAATAAATTAGTTAATCATAAAAGGTCTGTTATTGCATGCTCAAACAAGAACTGGAGGACAGCACTTTGCTGCTACCTACTGGCCAGAGTTTATCCTAACAACATGTAGAAAAAGGTGAAATCCAATGTTTATTTGTGTTCTTTCGGCTGTCTCCTTATTCAGTGGTGGCCACAGTAAGTCATTATGATTAGCAAGTCAGCTTCGTTTAAGTTTTAATGCTCAATGCTTTCCTGACGCAGCAGGGATTCGAATGAATAACAAGTTATAATATATTTTTTAAAAAGTTAACTCATTTTGATAAGTGAGACACATTAAATAGATTGTTTATATCCTCATCTATTTTTTAAGCCATAAGTATGTCAGTTATGATAATTTGTCATTTATAGCCAATAAGAGCACATTTCAGATTATAACATTACCATATAGAACCAAAAACAATACGTAATGCTTAATAATGTCATGTTTTAAATACTGAAAATAATTGGACCATGATCTCCGACTTCTGAAATGATTGTTTAAGGCCCTGAAAGTAGAACCCTGGAAAAGTGTCCTGTAAGGTCTGTGAATTCTAGAAAGCATTCAATAAGTTCCAGAAGCGACTTTTTTAAGCTTTATTACAGACACAGGAATCTAGTCTATAGTAGTAACTCTGGAAGTCCTTCAGTTCAGGAATATAACCTTTAAGGTCTCTAACAGAAACATATGGAATGGGTTACTTTAATATAATTATTATTCTCTCATACTGTAAAAAGAAAGTACAAACCACCCAATTTATTTCTATCAGGAATGTATTATGTGTTTTCTTTGTTCCATTTTGCCAATAAACGAGAAATGAAATGATGAAATCTATGAAGTGTTGCACTCTTGATATCAGTTTTATATAATCCTACACTGTGTACTGTGAAGTCTCACAAAACAACATGGAATTAACCTCAAATTAGAGGAAGTCATGCTTTTGTTCACTAGCTCTGCAAGTTTTAGCTAAGAATGTGTCATAGTGGAAGTTTGAGAAACTTTTTTGGTAAAATCAGCCAAATTTTTAACTGTCAATGAAAATCACTTTAAAAGACCACTTCAGATTAATTTATTTTTGATATTTATTTCTGTTATTTATTATAACATACCTGCATATATCCTAATGGTTTCACTGCTGTAACCGTACCATACCACAGAGGCGCCTGTGTGTGCATGTGTTTATCAACAGCCACATCTGTCAGGTCTGAAGCATCCACACAGACCTCTTCTGTTCCTGCAAAGCGGCTCTTCTGGGCTTCATTCATTTGCTCTCACAGAGAAGTGTTTTGCTCTGCTCAGACACCTTCTCTGAATGAATGTGTCTGCCTAGCTAACAACTTCCTGTGGCCGGCTGCAGACATGTTTTTACAGCTCGTGGTGACGGACACAAAGCCTTCTTTGAGATGTGGAGTCTAAGAACATGCAGCAGAGGAACACAGGAGATGAGAGGTCACCATTCTTGAATTTATTCTCTTCCTTGGAATACATGCCGCTGAAACATTTCATGTTGTACAACTTTTAGATCGTTCACACACAGAAACACATCATTATAAGGTTCTTTCTTTGCCTCTCTGTGATTTTTGTTACATGTTTAAAAACTAAATGCATATCACTTAGTCTAATATTTCTTGGAAAGATTAGGAGTCAGCCCTCTCTTATTAGGGAAATATTTCCAGGTAGTTTTGTACAGATTCCAGAGAGTTTAAAGTCTGGAGGCTTTGCTGTGGTGTTTGTAATTCCAACCTAAAACAAGAGAAAGAAATATACTTAAGACATGATTTTATGCATTTAATATGTGAAAAAAAAAAAACCTTACATGTTCCCGTTGTCCTGATTTTTCTTTACCCACCTAAATGCATCTCAGTTTTGGAACCAGCCGATGACGTAGCTGCAGAGGCCGTGGAAGCTCTTCCAGCAGTACTCTGTAGCAAGGCGTGACACCTTAGATTCAGGTTCCTCTGTGGGGAGCGTAGTGGTCTTCACAGGCTTGAGGGTGCTTTTCTTGCTTTGGGAGCCCTTGCCCAGCTGGGGTTTACCTTTTTGAGGCTTCATAGTGGGTTTGATTTGTGTTGGTTCTGCTGGCTTATTTTGCTCCTGGGCGGGCTTTGAAGGCTTGGGAGCTGAAGTCTTTGGCCATGAGTTTAGAAAAGTCATTTGAGCCTCATCAGAATATTTCCTGCACATATGTGGTCGGTAGATCTTGGCTCCCTGGCAGGAGTTTTTCAGTTTCCGCAGCTCCCACATCATCTGGGTAAAGTAGTGGCGAGGATTGTTGTTGTAGGCTCGGCATTGGGTTGGTTTTCCCTGGAAGTCGCAGTAGTAGGACCGTCCTGTAGTCTGGCTTGGGGCTCTGCAGGACACACGCACACGAGTAAAGTTTCCTGCTACAGACACCGCCATGGTGCATGAGTCCTTTGTCTTGGTGTTGAATCTGATGGTGTCATCCCAGATGTTGGGCTGCTGCTTCTTGCTGTCATTGCTGCTGTCGCTGCTGAGAGCATTTGAGACACAAACAAATGCAACCAGAGGCAGCAGCAGCATCATAACTTTCATCCTGCTTCTCATAGCAAAGTTTGGATCTGACCTGCTGCGGTAACTGCTCTGCTTGCTCCAAAGGTAAAGATAGGAGAGGCTACAGCAGGAAAATGCAACTTTACAAGCTGACGTATGGTTTATTAATGATTGGGGCTTACTTAAACTCCTCCTTCGCTTGCTCACGCAAACATAAGGTACATGTTGCATGTTTAAACCTCAGAAAATGATTGACGAGATGGCTGGTAGGAGGGGAAGGGATGGAAACCACAGGAGGATATGGAGAGCTAATGAAGAGTAAGAGGCGTAAGAGACTTACACATGAGACCAGATGGTGGCATAACAGGAGGACCATTGACCATTGATGAGGAGGAGAGCAGCAGGAGTTTGCCCTCCTTGCAGATTTTATCTGGGTTGTTTTTTTCACTTTTTTACATTTTTAAAATCATTAAACTAATTTTGAAATCGGATCAAAATAGCTTGAGTTTCTTGAAAAGGGTCTTTTCAAGAAACAAAATTGAATTGAAAACAAAAATTGCCAATAAGCACTTGAAATAACTACCCAATGAGTTTTTTTTCTCACAACTCTTTTACCTTATCTTCAAGATTTTCTGCAAAAAAGCCAAAGTCATTGTTCTATAAGTTATGGCAAGTCTTCCAGGGGATGAAGCAATAAAACAACTGCAGATAGTCACACCGCTACCACCATGTTTAATGCGGTCTGTTTCTGAAATGATTGATTTTATGTATAATGCAACCATTTTTTGCATTTACTTAGTCATATTTATTCACTTTAACACATTTTTTTCATATTAGCATGGTCGGACATAGAACAATTGTGTGGAAGTAACTAAATATGATTAAGAAGCTAGATCCTAAAAACAGTTGCATTATTTTTTCAGTGCTGAAACTGTATTCTGGATTGTTTCTGGTTCTGAACCAAATTAACCAATAAAGCATGAAGTGTAGGGACTGTATAGTGATGCATGAAGTCGTTAATGTATGGCTAAAGTAGTTTTGATAACCTATAAATTTAGACCATAAGTTCTTGCAGTTGAATGTTTATTTGCATTTTCTTAAATCATCAGTCTAAAATCACTTATTAGTGTCACCAAACAGGTAAAGACAGCACTAAGCTAGGAAGACCACCAGTATTTGGCATCATTTTATGTTAATTAATGTCAAAGTCTTTTTAAAGTTAAGGAGAATTCTTTATCCGGAGCTCCTCAGAAATTTCCAGCACAAGCCTCCCGTCTGGGGTCTTTGGGGATTTATACATCAGCAGGCATGAGTTCCAGCAATGTTTCTGCCTCCCAGAAACCATCAGAGCAGACTGTTTAATTTGGCCTCACAGGGTGGTCTGCTAGTTTTTCTTTCAAGATGCAGATCCTGACTACCATACTTGTCCCCTTACATGTGGTTTCAATGACGTAATCAACCTTAATTTGACTTTATGGGCAGATGTTTCATCTTTTTTAGGAATACGGAAGCTACTGTATTATGAGGATAGGGACTAGAGAATTGAATGGCACTGGTCTCTTTGCATTAGAGGGATGTGTTAAATTGTGAGGGATTGAGGGATAGCACAGCAGAAATAACTTGTTATACAAAGAAATGCAGTCACTTTTAGGGGGAAACTTCTGAGTCAGAGAAGCTTTAAAATCTGTGACTAACATTAAGTTTAATGTTAGTCACAGAAGTACATTCTCTATGTAAAGTTTATTTGTGAGCATTTTTTTTTTAACTCAAACCAAAATGGCTACACAAAAGTAACTGAAGTAAAACATTCCTGACAATATAATGTTATGGTCAAGTTTGTCTACTAAGCCTAATAGAAAACAGCATCACAAACTGAAACATCAGGAAATGTAAAATAATAATCTGGCTGAATCTATTATTTGAAGGTGGGCTTCATAAATTATATTTATGATGCAAATCAGCACAGAACTAATCCACAAGAAGAAAATTAATTTCCTGGATGAGTAGCGTGGCCCCATGATGCTATACGGGTAACTGTGGGTGAGCTGGCCAGACAAGAGCATTAGAGAAGACCAAGGATGTTCTAATGAGATAGTGTGAAGAGGAATGGTGAAATATCCCTCTGTGTGTATTTTTCAGCCTAATAAACCGAAGTAGGCTTTGTTTAAATTAAAAACCTCACATGCACTTCTTTAAATGTAGCTAAACCAATTTGAGTTAGATTTGTTTTGATACTGCCTATACAGTAATTTGAGTTGTTTTAAAACTGATGAATGATTACATTAAAATGAAATTAAGCTCTGAAATGCTTTGAAGGAGAGAAAGTGTTGTTCCAATGGACAAAAGCGGGGCATGCAAAATATAAACAGCAGTGGTGCTAGTAAACTCTTGTACATGGGATTTTTAAAAACAGTATTAACTTTAGAATTTCCAATAATCAATAAGTATAGGCAAATTAAATATCTGTTACTTTTGTTAGTCATTGACATTTTGTTTTAATAACTGTTCAAATAACATTGACAAGAATACAAAAATACAATGGGTTTAAAAAAAAGTATTGGTTTGTAATTTCAAGCTTAAACCAAATATTCAATGTTTTAAAGGATTTAAAGCAGTGTGGTTAATAATGACTGTAATAAGTCATGAAATGAGCAGAGGGAAGAGTAGAAGCTCTTCGCCTCAGGAACTGGACCCTAAATGGCTGCATTGAGAAGAAACAGCATCTGTATATGTAAACAGCTCTATGCCTTAACTAAACCATGTGACAAAACCCACTCAGTAAGGTCATCATTTGCATGAGGATCATTTCAACACACCTAAACCCTCATGCCAATAATTGTATTTTTGCCTCTTGTCTTTTTAATCGAAATAAAACTGCTTTTTTAGGCTATTATTATGGTTCATTGCAGAGAGTCAGACTCAGTGGTAAGAGTTTATGATGCATACGCCAAAATTAAAACCTTAAAATAGAAGAAAAAACATCACAAAGACTTGGTCGACTGAAGTTTTTATTCAAATCTGCAATTTCTGAACAAAATTCATCATTTCTTTGGTCCCTAGACCTCTGTTGTCATGGCAACATGGTCTGTAGCAAAAGCTTGCTGTGCTAACTTTATGTGTTAGCTGTCCTTAAAAACTTAGCATATGAGTATGCTAAAAAGCTGAATGTATTGTTTGGTATTAGATCAACTCTGAAGCTGCCAATGATCTTATTTATTATTTAAAGGCATAGTTCAATATTCTGGGAATCCAATTTGTGGATCCTGACAGGGTTAGCTGAGAGAAGAGATGTCCAAAATTGAAAAACACAAAAACTGAATGAATGTGTTTAGAACAGAACAGAACATTTAAATTGTTTGATTATCTCAAATAAAATATATAGTCTCAGTTTATCTGTTATCTGTAATGTACCTTCACTTGGAAAGCACAGTGGTGGAAATGTTAAGCTTTTGTCTGGCAAACAAGTAAATTTAATTGAAATGCATTTTTATGCAGACATTCGTGGTGACTGGAAGAAAAGTTAAAGCTCTGGATCAAACATAGTTCTCATAAAGCCAATATCTGGTTATACTTCTAATATTTACGTAGAATATTACAATTATTTGTTATTTTGTGCTAATTAAACACAAAAGTGTCTAATTATTTACCGAAACTATTGGCCTGACTGTGATTTTTTTATATTTTCTCCTAAAAATCTACGCAGTCAATCATCCAAAAATAATTTAAGCTATGATACAAATACCCAGAGAGAAAAAAAACAACCAAACAATAAATCTACAAAAAACAACAACACTAACATTATATAAAACCAAAAATAAAAGATATATAAAACTTTCTAAAGTTTTGAAAGTGTAAAAAAAATTTACATCTCAGTTGTTGTGGTTGAACTGATGTACATAGAATTTCATTCTTTACAAGTCAGTGTTGATATGCAGGAACTGAGGGATTTCTACAGCGTGGATAGCTAGAAGGACGCTGGAGCGATCAAGAGAGGATTTTATAGGTTTGCAGATGGCTGCCATCAGAGATCTGTTTAAACAAGATGAGGAGTGTTCCTGATTCTTGGCTTTTCTTATCTTCAATGGATCAATAAGCTGAAACAAATCCCAGCAATCCTGGAAAAAGGACAGGAAAGGGAGCCATTTGTTATACTCTCCAATACTAAGAAAAATATGTAAGTTTAAAAAGCACAAACTCACCTTTCCAGGACAGATCAGTTCCAGCTGTCCTGCCCACTGCGGAGGAGAAAACATCAAATCAAACACGGTGCATTGTGCAAAAACACCTAAAATTTTAACTTTTTTAACATTGGCTGGAAACCTCTTTTTTGTTAGTGCTCAGAATGAGGCCAAAAATGATTTCCTTCATTGTTTTACGAGCTCTTTTAAGCGTTTTCTGATCAGAATAAATACCAAGTATCCAAGCTTGTTTCCTCATTTTTGAATTCTCCTACTCTCTCTGTCTGCTACTTTTCGTCTTCATTCATTAGTTTTTTACTAAATCATTGGTTATTTTAATTTAATCATCACTATACATCATTATTTATTTCAGTTTGATAGAACCTCTTGTTGATTCTTATATGTATCTTTCATTTGGTAATCTGTAAACCTTTAAAATAAACCTTTTGTAAAAAGTATTGTTTTTCTTGAGGAGTCACTTTTGGCTGCACAAAGAGGTTTTTTCAGTTCATTTCTACCGGTATTCTGCTTCCTGTGTGTGGTGACGAAATAAACATGGTTCCTCTTCCAGCCATGCTTGTCCAGTTCTAGTTGGTTTAAACATTCCATCATTGTTCTGAGTCTAAATACAGCCATTATGCAAGCAGTCATTTTCTTTTTTAGCCCTTTCCTCATATATGGGGATCAGCTATATCTGCCTTCAATAGAATGTTTTCTTATATTTCCCACTTAGCAGGCTTGGTAAGAGAAAGTCTCTGATTCAAAGTCATAATTGCACCCAAGGGAAGCAATTGGTATGAATATCGTCAACGCTTCAGTGAACCTTATTGTAGGGATGTTGTAAGGATTGACCAACCACCGGTGTTACTGCATTTCTTAAACAAACCATTATTTCCTCATGCGGGGATTGCTCCCTGCTTAATAAACTTATTTAAAGATTCGCTTTTTCCACCTTTTTCAGGCTGGACATTTTTAAAGTTTTTGTTTTTATCATCTAAACTTTGAGGGACGCAAAAAGGCAAATTATCAAGGAACCACTTTTAAAGGCTTGTGTCTAATTCTTTAGTAAAATCCTAAACAAATACTAAAGATAGGCTGGTTTAACAAGCATGAAATATTTAGGAGAGGTGACTTTAAAATGCATCCAATTGTCAACTTTACTAATTTTAAATAAGTGAAAGATGCCTAATTTTCTCCGACTTATCTACTTAATAAGGTCATTACTTATATCTGGCTGCTTGGAAGAAATTGGCACAGTACTCTCTGAGATTTAACTGATGTTGCATCATGGAGCGGTGTTGATGTATGCGAGTCAGATGGACAAGTTTTTATTTATCTTTTCACTGCAATCTTTAAGAAAAGACCACAGATCACGAAGGTGAGAGTAGATATTAAAAATAAAAAAGGTGATGTTTCTCATCAGGAGAATGATACCAAACTGAAGACGGTTTGATGCTGAGTGGCCGATGGGCGGTTAGTGAAGTTAGGTGACCATTAGATGGAGGTTTTCACAGGTTGTAAATACCTCTAATAAGGAAGAGCGTTCCTGAAGGTCACCATTCACTTGGTGGAGCTGAGGCCCGAGGGAACCAAGTCAATGTTTCATTATAGGGAGAGCTAAACACACACATGGACATGTGGAAGTCCTTATTACTGTCTTTAAAGTTACATTCTTTGAAACTTTTTTTCTGGGCTACAGATGAAATCCCCTTCACCAATTAATCCTTCCGCATGCAGACGAGCAGAGTTTCAAATAGAGCACAGCTCATACCTGAGCGGGGCGACGTTTCCTCTGTGATCACACACCTGTTTATCGTGATTATGTGTTTTAGCCCTACTGCAACACAAAATGGAGGGGGATGAAGATGAGAGTAACAACAGAAACACCCTCCTGACGCTAAAAAGCGTGAATTGATCCAAAGAAAGTTTATGCTGAGAAGTAGCAGGCAAGATAGGTAGGAAAGGTGTGATATGGTCCAAAATATCCCCTTAAGAAATGTGGGGATAAAAGGGAAAGGCTAAAAAGGCTAAAGTAAAGCTATAAGAAATTAGAGTGCAACAAGCCACGGGTAAGAGTATCTGGAGAAAACACCAGGATTGAATGAAAGGAAAATCCAAGAAGAAGAAGAATTATGGAAAGAGACAGAAAATATGACAGATTAGTTTCGTTTTGAGCTGAAAATGCTCTGAATCTCCGATAGCAGAAGTGAAAATATTTCCATCTGTAGCTGTCCAAGAAAAAATGATGCACTCACTCTTCAAAGACGTCCTCTGTGTCCATCCGTCTGTAGTATTTGGCCAGTTTGATGGAAAAGATAATGCTGGGAATCAGAAGGATGCAGCAGGCTCCCAAACCCATCCAAAATGTGTTCTGAAAAACAACAACACGAAACTGTTAGGTTTAATGCTGAGTTAAAATATGCATTTATTTAGATTCATAATTATAGAGGTAGATTTGTAAAGCTGTGGGCTCCATCAAAGAAAGAATCAGGTGGGGATAATCCTGCAGCAGGACACCAACAGGCCGATAACAGAGCGGTTCTAGGTTAACAAGCTCCAGTATGCTCATCAGAAAGTTATCATCTTAGAAATACAATAATAAGAAATTATTTGTTTATACCTTCTAATGAATATTGTACCTAATAGCATTAAATAAAATGGCTGGGGGTAGATTTAGCTCTGCAGAGATCTGCTAATAAGTTATTGTATGATTCATTTGTGTTGAAGAATGGGATGCATCTAAAAGCAGTAGGACATTAGAGGCTAAGAACTGGACTTGGACGACCCTTGACATCTTTCATGAGTGTAGCAAAACTTTTAAAATAAACCATATCTTTTACACTACAAAAATATCCAAATAGAAAACAAGTGAATAAAACATCTAATCTAATTCTATGGCATTCAAGAGGAAAAACCCAGATCATCACAGATCCTCTATTATAGTTAACAGATAACAGGAGGTGATTCTCCCTGTTTATTTTTTATTTTTTTCTTTCTTTCACATATTTAAATGTATAAACATTAAAATGTATTCAGGAACAAACTGAGCTCAAACACAGAGACAAGAAGGAACTTGTTTCGTTAGATTGTACCAGCTCTATGTTAATACAAAAATCAAACGAGGATGACTAACGTTTGAACTTTCTAAAAGTTATCAATTTCTTTCAATCTGAATTTTGAATTCTAACCTATTTAAAATTGACTGATTTAGCTTTGCTGAAGCTGCCAATCAATCGAAACCAGAATCAGTCGTAAAAAAAGAACTTTAGCTTCACATGCTCACAGTGTGCAGCTATTCAATGTAAATGTTAAATTTTAGAAAAAGGAAAAGAAAAAAAGAATGTTATATAGATGTGAGTTTGTAAATCCAAATCTTTTTTAAAGGTAAAGTAGCTGACTGCTCTGACTATAAGGGTTTGATCAGAGAGACAACCTAGGGAAATTATAATTGATAACAAACTGATAGGTTAATTGAAGATATGTGGTTTGTGTTAAAACGTTAGCATTTATAGGAAGCTTCCAATGGTCCTTTAGCAACTGCTCAGTTGGCTTGTGCCGGCTCTGGATGAGATCACAAGATGCCTCCTGCAAGTTAAGCACAGTCTGATGGCTGCTACTGAGGCTTGGTGACCCTAAGCTTAAGTGAGGTTTATAACTAACTTACTCTTAAAAAGAAATAAATTATAAATAATTAAATAATAATACAGGTTCCAAAAATGTTAAAAAAGTTCGAAGACATTTCGCTTCCCATCCAGGAAGCTTTTTCAGTTCAAAATGAATTGAATTTTTCAAAAGAAAATGAATTTTGAATTGAAAACAAAGGAAAGTCCAGTGGATTGTTTTTTTTTACTTTTTTGGAATGACTATGACCTGGATGTCTGAGAATCTCCACCAGCAATAATAAAGGTGTATTGTTAAACTGTTGAAATGTAGCTATAAACATATAAATTAATAACGAACTCCCAAAATGGATATTTTTTAAATTACTTTACAAAAACTGAAGTTTGATTTTAAGATGATAAGCACTGTAAAAACAAATGTTACCAGAGGTGTCAAATGTTTCTTACTCAAGTAGAAGTATACATTCTACTGTTTCAAAACATTTAGAACTTGGAGTATAAACTTCAGCTTCTTACTCAAATAAAAGTGTAAAAGTACCATTTTAAAACTACTTTAAGCATAAAAGGAAAAGTAATGCTTTAAACCTTATACTTTTTACTGCACTACCCTCTTAAAGGAACATGTTTCAAAAATTCTGAATGATAACTTCCTTATACTGAATTTTCTTAGTTTTATAACTAATGGAAAAAGGGTAAAATTTAACTTTGCATCATCTTGAAAGCAATCAGTCAGAGTTACTGTGAGCACACACAGAAACATCCACAATGAGTAATTACCACTGAGTCGATGATGAAGCTGCATGCCACGATCTCCATGCTGTCCACCATGTTGCTGATGGGTTTACACTGGGCTACCTCTGCTGTTAGCTGCAGGGGGATAAGGACACACAATATGAACATTGTTGAGTCCCAGGGTATTGCTGGAAGTTGCTGTTCCTGGAGAAACCAACTTAAATCAACAGATGAAATGTCCCGGGAAATTCCTGGAGTGGCTGCTTCTGGCCAACAGCATAACATCTAAATAAACTTCAGGAAGTCATTAGAACCCTGTATATACAGTAAGGCCACTTTAATGTGAACAGTGGGCCTTCGTGCATTTTTCCCCCATCTAGACTGAATCAGTTAAAAAGCAAACATACATCTTTGAAATGATTTGTAAAATACTCACCGAGTTTTTAACCCATTCAGTGTACTGCTTGAAGTAACTCACAAGGCTCTGCACAAAGGCCTTGGTCTCCTGCAGACCAGCAGAGAACCATGTTAGAAATGACAGACTTCAGTAAAAACATTCTTTTAGATAAAAGGATGTAATTAAACCAGAGGTTTAATAATGGTTCAGCAGAGAATAGAAATATAACATTTTAAGAAGGCTTAAATTATGACAAAGAGAGATTTCCTTTTCTTGTTTCTAAACAGACCTGAGCAACCCCTCTGAATTCAGATTTTGCTTCCAAAGAGTCAGACATTTCTTTATCTTTAAAGAGGGCTTGATCAACAGCTCTAGACCTTCTGCAGTTTTTCTATTGATGCTGCTTTCCCAACCTATTACAACCAAATGCTAAATGTGTAATTATTGAGATGCACCACTTGTACCAACAAATTGTTTAGGAATAAAAACATGAGCTTAGAAAATGAGCCAGTGTTCCTTAAGAACATTACAGAAAACAGAACAAGCTACTTCCAGACGGTGTCTGCTCATAACATTAAAGTCCTATCTGAATATGCACTGAAGTTAAATCCCTTTTAGAAAACAAAGTATATTAAGCACATGTATTTCCTATGATGTGCCAGTGTCTATTTTTGTTCAGAGAGAATTGTTATATCTTTTTATTATTTTTATTCCTAGTTTTGACGCCAACTCCGTCAACTAGAAATAGAAGCTACCTAATATTAGCGAAGAAGAATGCCCAGTAGTGTCTGCGCAACCATCTGCTTCATAAGGGTGGCTTAAAGTCAAACATAAATGTGACCAGTTGGATATCTGCCGGAGTCATCCTGGTTTCCTGAGGGAATCAGTTCTAAATCTAAATTTGTAGCACAACTTCTGCAGGGAGAATGGAGCCACCTTGTTTCCTACGCATTCTGGATAGAGTGAAAAGCATTTAAACCTAGATCTGCTGAACTTATGAATAATTTTTAAAATAACTTAATCTGTTGATTATTAAAGTTAATTTGGAATCTCTTTCATATGATACAATGAAAATTAGTATGATATGTGATTGTTTATTGGTCCATAAAACAATATAAACTCTGTCAGGATGCCTTCCTGCTGTGCTGCTTTTTCCTTCAGCTCAGACTCTCAGCTTAGTGTCACAGCCACAATCAGGTAAATAAAATAATAGTTATATACGGCATAAGCATCGGTAACATCAGAAATTAGATATATGAAAATGTGTTTTAATTATGTTTTCAAACAAAAAGCTCCACAGGAAAATGTAACTGTGACATTATGTTACAGTTCATAGGTTTGAGATTGATATACTGGATAAAAGAACAGTGATCATTTATAAAAATATTTACACAAAGCTAATGTTCATGGAATTCCATTTCATTGGGAAGTTCAGACTAGTTCATCCAGCCAGAAATCTGGTTCGCCAGCTCATTTATAACAAACTCTATGAATCTTCTCCTTAAAAGAACTGAAGCGACAATCAACGGGAGCCGGAATTGCTCTAATTCAAATGTTAAAGGTCTAAAATTCAAAGAATGCTGTTGAGTAGAGAAAGAGTCAGCTACTTTTTGCCATATCACTGAATTGTTGTTTGTCTATTCGAAATAGGTTCCTGGCCATTTTAGCACAAAGTTCAACTGTGAATGCCTTAGTGCCCCCAAGAGGTCAAATAAATATTTAGAAAATCTCTGACATCTAAGAGTCTGCTTCTTCACCATGTCCTTAACTCTAAGCATTCAGCATGAAATTATTTACCTGAAGCAGTGCATCTCCAACATTATGGAAACACCTGAGATTCTTGCTGAATGTGTTACAATACTTCATCATCAGAAACTGTCCCATCATTCAGTTTACATGTTATGATCTAGCTGCATGTCTGATAAACTACAAACAGTGCTTTAGCAATGAGGACATTCCAAAAGAAATGTCAGGTAGTTTTGTTTTTGAGGTCTGACACCTCTAATGTTTTTCTTCAAATGTCCACTTCTACCATCTCTTAAGGATCTAATGCTGTTCACATTTCTCTTCATTCAAAGAGCAACCTTTAAAGATCTTCAGAAAGCCCATCTAAGTAATTGTTAAGTGAAAAGAAAGTTTGTTTCTTAAGAAACAAAATATAAAGAAAAAAATTCACCATTGCAGCAAAAAAATAGACAATTTTGTTATGAAAAAGAGTGATATTGGCAACAACTGGTAAATTAAAAATAAACAAAAACAGGCTTTTAAAGCAAATGACACACATAACAGATCTGGGTGCTAAATTTAATCCACTTCATACTAAGCATGTTCTTATTTGCAAGTTGCTGTTTTTTTTACCTGTTTAACAACATGTGAAGCATTGTGAGTTATGAGGTACTCCGCTGCATCAATGGCACTCAGAATGTTTGTGACTTTCATCTGAGACACAAAGAGGAATTCAGCTCATCTGAGCACAATCAACTCATTCCAGTGTAAACTGCTCTTATGCTGACAGTTTTACCCACAGGCAGGTCATTGGATGTCCTCTGCAGCAGTATGATGCTCTGGCTGAGGGTGCTCTGCAGGAGGACACAAAAACCCAAAACTTTTAAAGATTTCTTTTATTAATAAAGGCACACCTAAACAGCTGGGTGTCACCCAGAGCTAAAAAATGTTGGTATTGTCACTGGAACATATGACCCACGTTATCACAGCACAAACACAGACAGAAAACACCTCGCAGCAGCTTACCCGCGCTCTGACATATTTCTTTTACCAAAGAGCGCAAGAGGAGAAGGAAGAAGAAGTTAGAAGAAACTTAGAAGATTTAATAATGTGAAAACAAGCTGTGACTGAAATGCACTGTAGCTCTTTAATATAAACAATATCAGTGTGCAACTCGCTCCTTTTTAAGCTTTTATCTAACTGCATAGTTTAAAGTGAAATTAGAGATGTAAAAGGAGTCGTCTCTATGTATTCAAGACGTCCAGGTTTTGGTTGCTTACCATTGCTTGCTCCAGTGGAACCACCTGCTCCCTGTGGATCGTTCTGATGCTGCTAGCGTGTCCCTTCAGTGCGTTCTCCAAAGCTCCACGTGGCTTTAACGCACAAATAATGTAGGATGAATAAGAATGCAGAAACTACACACTGATTTAAAGATCCCAAAGGTAAATGACCCACATATAGCACTGTGCCGTGATCAGATTAGACCAAAATAAAGCTCTTTGACATAAACTCAACCTGCTGTGTTTAGAGGAAAATAATTGCTGGATATGTCTTAAAAATCAGTAAACCAGCAGTCTATACCATAGATGATAACACTATGATTTGGGGCGGTTCAGTGTTGTGCATGAAATGTGTCAGGGTTCTGCCCTCTGTTTAAGTTTATTTTTAGTTTCTTTGTATTTGTAGTTGTTTTCTAGCATTGTATTGATCTTGAGTTACTCTCCGTCGCCCCCTTGTGTTTGTTTCCTTTCCCTTTGGCGTCCTTCTAGCTTCCATCCACACCTATTCCCTGTCAGCTCATTAGTCCAGTCTTTGTTCTCTCCTATATATGCTCTCCCTGTGCAGTTCCTCAGTGCTGATTCCACCTCTTTTCCTGGCTCCTCATGTATGTTTTCCAAGGTGTCTCCTAAATTCTGTTTTTTTTTTCTTTCTGTATTCCTTATTTTGGATTTTTTTGGAATTCTGCGAGTACTTCAATAAATCAGTAAAACTCAGCCTACTAATTTATGCATTTGGGTCCTAAAAGCCTCCACTCAATCTGAAAAAAATGCTTAAATGTTCATTTTATGAAAGACTTTATGAGGTAATTTTACTTTTTTTATGCCATTTTAAATTAGCAATGCTATATTTTTAGGTAGAGAACAAATAAGCTAACCCAGCTGTCACTCTGAGTTATGCATTCTAATTGTCAAGAGAGGCCTGTTAGAACATTATGCAAAGATGTGTAATTATACAGAAAAACAGGACAAGTGCAAAATGTTTAAGCTCATAAATAATTTATGACAAAACTTTAGATTTTTCATCGGAGCTTAGAGGCAGGGGGACAGAATGACTCACTACAGAGTAAAATAGCTGAGTTGCTATTCGACCCAAACACGTTGCTTTGATGATGAACCAACACTGTTTGAATCAAAAGAAACATTTCCAGAAACATAGAGGATTTAAAAAGCTCCTGTAAAGAGCGGTAGACTAAAAACCAACATGAGATCTATGCAAACATGCTGACCAACTGCAGAAAATATGTCTTTACTCGCTTGCTTAGCAGCAACTGCTGAGACACCAATCCTAAGTCATGTTTTACTCAGTTTGATTAATAAACACTTTAGTTACTTTTAGTTGTTATTTTAGACTTTATATCTGTTATTTCCCCTTCTGTGTGATCTTCAGAGATATACGCCTTTAATGAATGTATTTCTTATAATAAAAGCAGTGTTACATGTTCATGCAGTGAAATCAGGACTAACCAGCTGGTCGGCCTGGTCCTCCAGGTCAGAGCAGAAAGACAGCAGGTCAACAAGAGTGACCCCCTTATTCACCTGGAAACAGGATTACCCTTTCATTAGTGCCATCAACAAGTTTAAACTCTTTGTAATAAAACAAAAATATCAACAGTAAAGAAGTATTTATTTTTCTACTGCGGATGTTGTCACAGTTTTAACCTCAGAATGAAATGTTTGCAGCAGGATAGAAACGACAACTGAAGATAAAAGTATACAAATGATTTTTATTAAGCTCTATCTTAAATGTGGATAAACACAATGATTAACAATCATTAAATAGCTTGACTTGATGTTTCTGACATCACTGTGAGGATTTAAACCGACTCTTCTTTACCAAACACATTTTATCACAGCTTTGAGTAAAGATGAAGTTGGGGCTTCAACTACCCAGTTGCAGCATGTAGTTTTCCAATGTTCAGGCCTAATATTGCATGTTCATGATGTGTTTATGATCTTTGTCCTAATGACTGAGTTTGGGCAAAGCTTCAACAGATTTCCCTGACTTTGGTAAACAGAGGAGCTAATTGACTGATTGTGTAAATGGAAAATAATCACAAATAACTACACTTTTACCATACCTTAGAGATAAATTTTTGTAATTGTTGAAATGATGTTTTACTGTCACATATGACACTGTTCAGTATAACCACACATTTTGAGTCTGGTCTCATCAGCCTGAAGACATTGTTACAGACATCCTGTGTCTCATTCTAATAAGCTCTGAAGCCAGTTTTTTTTTTCTTTTTTGAAAAAGAAATTCGCCCCTTGCAAAGGATCAAATTTGCTTATGCTCGTTTCATTTTTTTTTTATTATTTAACAAGCTAACTGAATCCGAGAAGGAGCTCTTGGCATTTGCTGCATTTTCTCTGTGCGGTCTAGGTCTGGTCTTGGGAGGAATTTGCCAGAATATTTACTTCTTGGAAGATTTCCAACTAAAGATTTACTGACAGGTTGCCTTTCATGCTTTTCTGGAAATGGCCATATTAATGGAGGCCAACAGTATCTTTTCTAAGGTAATTTCTTGTGTATTTATGTCTAAACACAATGGTGACTAATCAATGAAAGACATCCAGAATTAGCAGCATCAAGCCTCTATTTTCTCTATTATTTTAACAATAAGCATCAAGGTAGTAGTGATACCTGTTTTTAGTCACAAATACATTGACAATTATAAATTCTCACAGGACAGTGACACTGAACAAGACTCTAAGTAAACAAAGAAGTTTATTGTGTTAATTTGTGCATTATAATCTTTAACAGACAAATCACCTCAGCCAGGTAAGCTTGATAGTCAATATCACCGAGTCCTGAGTTTGCAAAGTTGATGAGGTTATCTCTGCTGGCCTGGTCCAGTAGCATGATGTCCTTCAGGTCCACTTGAACTCCGTCAAACACTTTAGCCAGATCTCTGTTGTACTATTATGAAACAGACATAAAAAAAAGCAACTTTGATCACAACCATCCTGCCTTATCAGTTAACAGAAAGCAGTGAAACAGCGACACTCACCACTGTCCTGTTGAGGAAGGTGTTGATGTTGAAGATATTCTCCAGCTGCAGAGCGTGATACAGCCCATTGTTCTCATAGCACTCCCTGTTGGATAAATATCGTCATTACACAAAGAAACCCAACTTTACTGCCTTTCTGATGCAATTTCAAAGATTTCTTAATAATTTTCCGAACAATTTTTGGATATACATACAATACATACAAAAGGAAATTACATTGTTATCAGTTTTTTCTGCATATAAATATGTATATATAATCTCTTAAAAGAAATTAAAAATTGAATTTAACATAAATAAACAAAAATTATTGATGCACCAATTGGTGAGCTCATCTTCGTTTGATTTGCTCCCCTTGTTGATTAGCTAAGTGTTCCTAAAAAAATATACAAAACATCACACATCTACATCACTATTACTTTATATGTTAAAGTTTGTGAAACTTGGTCTTTGAAATTAAAATGTTTGAAAAACTAAGTCTAAATAACTGATTATGAATGTGTTGTAGTTCATGGAAAGAAAACCCAGAGCCCTCAAACATGTGTTTGACAGGGAATCGATACAGCCCAGTAAAGCTTGAAGAGCGCAGTCATTTTGTTGAAGACAAAAGGAGGAATTTCAAATAAATCAAATTTCAGCCTTCTAGAAAATGTTATGGATTATAAACTCCTGCTAATTGTCCTGCATGTTATCCTGTTTTGCTACACTTTTATTTCTGTCTCGGGGTTTTATTGGACCAGTTTCTTGCCCTTTTAATCAGCTAATGCACATCTTATTCTTCTTTAAATGTATTTTCATATACTTTTTCAACTGTTTCTTCTAATTATCCTTTTGCACCTTGAACCCTAACTTCTAACCTTGCAGTGTAAATAGGAATACTTGCAAACATTTCTCAACTTTTAAGCTTTAGCTACTCACCCATCCTGATCAGCAAAAGTACTACATTGGAGCCTATTCAAAAAACTAAATGTGCTTTCTTTTTCTATGAGAGTTTATAATGCATTTGCAGTTCTGATATGGGAAACAATAGTACAAAACGGTAAATATCGTTTTCTTTATAGACAGATGCGTCTTTTTCACCTGTACATGCTGCCCAGGGTCAGGTCGATGTTTGGATTCTGGAAGAGCATCCCAGGAAGGAAATTTCTTTTTTCAGGATGAACCAGGAAAGGTGTATCTATGATCTGCACAGACAAGATGTTCACCAACAGAACAATTTAACCCCATTCTACATCACTATCCTGTTCAGATGTGATTGAAAAGAAGATGGAGGAGAGTCATGATTCATGAATTAAGATTTCCATCTTTTGTACCTTGAACAGCTGTCGGTTAGCCAGAGGTTCACATATCAGCTTCTCCACGTTGCCTCCAACAACAAACATGGTTGTAACGATGCCCATCAGTCCCCAGGCAAAGATAAATGAGAATCCCACGCCACTGAACGACAAAAAGTCAAAATTACCTCTAAAATCTACTTTGGAAGTTTGAAATTTGTGTTGACGTGTTTTAAATATGATTTTTTGTTAAAACAAAATAAAAGACTTGAAAGGAAACTCTTAAATACTGTAACACTATGAAACTATTATCAATATCAAACTCTTGTAAAGTAGATTTATCCATAAAATAAATTGCCCAACTTGGTAACCTATAATAAATTATGTAATTTTTTCCACCATGTTCTGATTTTACTTTCATTTCAAGAACAACAACAATAGAGCAAGTATTGCTTGGTAGAGATTATTTTGTCTGTTTAAGAAAAAAATGCTGGACTTTTTTTACTGAAGACTAAACATGGTCATTTAAAGCAGATAAGTAAAATTGATAGCAGCCACTTAAAAGCTAATTTTGAACGTTTTTTATGGAAACGTACGCCATCAGCAGGTTTCCTCCGGTGTTCGACAGGCAGCCACGTGTTGTCGGGGAAGCCTGCTTATCGTAGCCACAGGTGCCACAGAGCAGACCAAGCACATTAAAGGCCAGAATAAGGACGACTGTGCAGAGCACAGCAACGCAGATGATCCACCTGCAGCACAAAAAAAAAACTGTTTAATAGTCTTCAGTTTCTCAAGTAGTCAGAAGTTTACATGGACTGATTGCTGGCTTGTTGCTGCTGCACAGTACTGTAAATGCATTTGTTAAGAAGAAAAATGCTGCCTAAGATAAATAAATAAATCAAACCTAGATCAGAAAAAGAAGAGAAATCAATTTAAAGTTGTTGTTTTTTTTTGACAAGGTTCACAAACCTGTAGAAATCCATTTGGTCAATCTGAGGATAAAACGACTCGAGATACTTGTGTCTTTCATTGAGAAATATGGTGAAATTAGCCAGAGAGGATTCCACTGGGAACATCTTGGAGAATGCGGTGATCTCATTTCCAATCTTATCCAGCATGTTTTTCACTCCTGCATGAAAACACAAGCAAACAACTGAAGTGACAAGGATTTAAAATGAAAACTGACATTTTGTCACAAGCTATGTACATATGCTAACAAACATCACAACACATCATCATGCTGTGGGGACATGTTTCTTTATTAGGCTCTGGGGAATCCAGTCAAAGTCGACACAAAGATGGATGGAGCTACAAAAACATTGGCCAACATTGTCAGAACCTGGAAGACAGTACATATTGGGCTGTTGATTAACCTGATGTCAAAGCATATGAATGTGTCAGAATGGGCTAATCAAAGAGAAAACAAGGTAATTGGAAATCTGTGGCATTATATTCATAGATATTCTCCATCCTGTCTAACTGAGATAGAGATATTTCTTGACAAAGAAAAATAGGAGGAAATAAGTGAAAGGATTTATTAATACATCAAAGGTCTTACAGTGTTGATTTAAAGGGGCTGATTACAAATTCATACCAACCCCCTAAACCGAAAACCATGAGCTAGATTTGTTAATTTTATTCTAATAACATCATTCAGAAGATCCATAAGAACATTGAAACAGGACTTACGAGGCAGAGCTGTGTTTCATCATTTAAAGGAATGCATGTGAAGAAAGAGCATGAAGCATTTAGTCAAAACTCAGTTTGATCTTACAAAGGGCCATGCACCTGCCATCCTCAAACCCATAGACAAACCCACAGGGATATGTGTGTACCTGTGACTATGTTTTTGGTTTGCTCTTTTACCAACGCTGGTGTGTCATTAAAGGAGGCATAACCCTGCAGAGGAAAATAAGAAGAAAAAAAAAAAAGGAAAGTGGAAAAACACAGATAGTTACTGGAGCATAAAGCTATTGACCAAACTATATGACAGTGTCTTGGAAACAGGAGTTTTACCTTTTGGACAATGTTGCTGAGATCTACCTTCAGTACCGTGTTAATGTTAGCCAAGGCATCATTAACATCTGGGAGCTGACAGGGAAGACGGAAATGTGAGTAAAAGGAAGAACAGGAAACGCTGGATTTACATTCTAGTTTGACAGTTTTGTCAGTTTAAAGGAATGATAATGTCCACTGTGAATTGACGGATGGACAGACGGATTCATACTGACTCTGGGTCATTTATATCAAGCACATATAAATCTTGTAATAAATTATCCTCTTACCCTGGAGAATTCAGCATTGACTCCCAGCTGAGGCAGCGCAGACCGGATTGAATTGCAGGTGGGAGACGCGGCTCCGTTTGTGCAGGCAGGGTCAGACAGGGTGTTGGACAGAGAGGAGCGCTCCCCTGTCAAACTGGCCTGAAGCTTTCCCATTCCTTCCTGAAGGATCTCCAAAGCAGAGCTGACGTTTTCAAGGGCCTCCTTGGTCTCCCGCATAGCTAAAATCAACATTGGACATGTGAGAGAGAGTCAGAAACTACATTTAGACATAATAGTATATCATCTGATTACATCAAACTAAACTTAAACCATTCATCACAACTTCACAGCTAAATGTAAATGATGTGCCTCTGAAGGTCATCAAAATTTGATCTATTTCAGCAGCTGAATTTAAAGCATGAAACATGTACATTAAGATCATCATACTGAGAACAGATTTCAAATGTACATTTCTGTTATTTTTGGTGATTATAGTTAAAAAGTATATTACACCCAATTCTTTTTTGATGAAAATTCTCCTACACACAAGACTAACATAAAAGACTGCAAACTTGCCTAGCTGATCCCTGACAAATTACATTATCAAAGAAGCTTCTGAAGTTTTTAACATTTTCTAAGTACTAAGTGAATAAAAAGAAGAGTAAAGGCAGTTGATCAACATTTCCATACAAAACAACCATTTTTTATTAGTCTTGTTTAATATTGTTTTTGTTTTGTAACTTTGGGTTTATGTAATAATCAAGACTAGAATTCTTTATGTGTATTTCATTTTCTAAATTGCAGTGCTGAAATAAACTGATATTTCCATGATTTTTAAAGCATTTTAAATGTACATGAAAAACAAATAAGACATCACCAGAAGGCCCACAAACACAACAACACAAAGACGGCACCACTGGATCCATATCAGCTTTGTTTACCTTTAATAGCACTCTCAACTTTCGCTTTTGGTAAAAAAAAAAAATGAAAAGGGGACCAGGGAAGTAAGAAGAGAGTACAAATAATGTAATGATTTTATTTGGTGCATTCGGGTTATTCTTCAATTATCAAATTAATCAAAAAGCAAAAAAATACTGTAGATTCATGCGTGCATTAGATTTGTGCAGGAATATGTCATCAACTGGGGGTCAAATAAAGCTCTGTTACCTCCTGCCATCCGAAGGGCAGCATCCAGCGCAGGAACCACCTCTTTCTCTAGATGACTGTGGATTCTGGCTCCCAGCAAAGGGCCAATGTCTGTCAGAGATCACAGACAGATTAGATGCATGAAAACAACAAAGGTAAAGAAAGATATTTGAAAAGCATCAATAATCTTACTGTCAAGGTCTGACAGGACTTTATTCTTTGCAGTGGTGTACTGGGCAGTCAAGTAATCGATTTGCTGCAGCCGGAAACACATTAATGTTATTGATTCATATACAGCTAAGTTGTTTCATATGTGTGAGGGTGAGTGTGTTTGAGAGAATACCGCTGGGGTGTTGTTAGCGAATGTCTTCAGGTCTCTCATGTTGGTGTTTATGAGTCTTCGAGTGCTTTTGATCTGAGAGCTGATGTTGTGGTTGGCTGCATAGGCGACAAGTACTCCCAGACTGAAACAAGCAAATGAGGGAAGAGTCAGATGTGCAGTGACCAAAATGAACCAGAGGGGGGCAGTATTGCTCCAAAACACCAGCTCTAAATAAAATCCTGTATTTAAAAAAACACTGAGGAATAAAACAAGGTGATTCAATTTTCATTTAAAATTTGGAGTAACTCTTGCTTCTTGGATACAAAAACTTTGTTAACAAAGAAAAGCAACTATAAAATATTATTTTGTATTATTTAAAATCTGATTTTTTTTTTCTTGATCAAGGAAAAAAAGGGAAAAATCGTGTTTTTTCTTTTCTGTTTTTGCCTCTGGCATTTTGATTGAAACTTTCCATTTTTACGTTTTTTGAATTACAACCAGCAAGATTAAACCTTTGGTATAATCTGTAAGGATGGCCTGTTAACTCATCTTAATATAATTAGTAAATCATTTTCATTATCTAAACTTGCTTTACATCCAGGCTGGCAATATATAATCTAAAGATAGCAGTTTTTAAGACTTTAATGGTTTCAAACAATGAATATGAGAGTGAATGTCACATGACCAACAAGTACCACATGGCCCACCACCTCTAAAACACAATATAGCACCAACATGGAAAAAAATACAGGCTAATATCATCAACCCAGTTTTACTTATTGGACTGATGCAACTTATTTATTTCCGATATGATACCAATATTGCAGTTTGAGTAATAACCAATCCCAATATTAACCAATACAATATCAGCATATATATGAATCACACATACTTTTATTTATTTATTTATATATATATATATATATATATATATATATATATATATATATATATATATATATATATATATATATATATATAAATGAAAAATAAAAACTTCTGTTGGGGAAATAAATTATTTGAAGAGAAATAATAACCAAATACTAGATTCCCATTTATCCTATCTGCAAAAGATTTTATCTTCTAAAAAAAATACCTACTTAAAACCAAAACAAACCAAACAAAAATGTATATATATTTCAATATATTTTTTATGTCTTATGATTTTTATGATATATAGAGTGATTTATATCAAAGTGATGAACCTTCCTATTAGACTGTTTACATTGGATTTTAGTTATTTTTCTGCCTTTTTCCAAAAATAAATAAATTATAATATACCTGAAAAGCTAAAAACATGAAATATAAAAAATTTGTGCAAATAACCTATTTAAAGATCTCTATATATTATATAAAACTAAACTTTAAGAAGGGAGGTCCCGTACTGCAAACCCTTTTCCATACACTTCCCTACATGTTTTTCTGTCTCCTGTATGTGAAACTATTTCCTTTATTCAGATTCACTGCTGTGTAGGAGCCCTGACCATGAATGAAAGTGAGAGAAAAAAAGGCATGAGAAAACAAATCCCCCCCTCTGGATCTCTGTGTGAGCATGAGCAGGCATGTTTGTGATGTGAAAGGCTCCATTCAGATGGAGACACAGAGGCTTCTCCCAGTCAGATCAGTAACAGCTAACTGTCCAGCAGATCCTGTTTCTGTGCACAGGTCAGCTTTACATCTATAGGTTGGTGCCCTGCTCTGTATCACTGCTGACCTGCATGGCTTCTTAGGATTTCAAATAGGAGGTTCTTTTTTTCCAGGACATCAATACATTAAAACCATTTTTCTTTAAAGCTAAAATGTAACTTCCAGAGAGCAGGGACTGTATGTGTCTTTTGCAAAACTCATACCCAGTCTAAAAAAAAAAAAAAAAAAATCAAGGTGAAAGGTGATACACATGTGCAGAACCTTCTCACAAATGGAAAACTGTTACATATACAAATTAAGATCCAAATAAGATAAAGGTAAATGTACAAGACTTAGAGGTTCTATCCATTTGACAATATGTTTGAAACCTTTGTTTCCTTGTATTTAAACCATAAGAGTTTTAAGATTGCTCTGTTTTATACACACAGGATTTGAGTTTAAACTGTGAAAAAAGGCTTTAAATAAATCTACATTTTTTTTTAGTTAAACAAAATGAAACAAATCAAGAAATGAGAGCTTTGAAAATGTCCCACTGTCTGTTAAACTGCACTTATGTAATATTCTAGTGGTTCAACAGACCTGAATCAAAAGAGAGGATAATTTTGAGACCTCCAGTTACTGAGGAAGTGTTGGAGTTTAGGTATTTCTGCATCCGAATAACAATTTCAGAACAGATTTTAACATGTTTGGGGTCATTATCTTCTTAAAAGACTAGATATGAGGCCAAATGAGGGAGTTTAATTTAAGATGCCCGCAGCATCACGGATCCTCCACCTAATTTAACACTAAAACTGAGGTTGTTCCACATATGCATTCTTTTACTGTAGGATTGTAAGATTTAAACCAGGGAACCTTTAGCCTTCCCAAAAAAAATGTGTCCTTCTTTAACCACTACGCCACCGATTCCCCTTCACAACCAAGAACAGCCACTCAGACATTGAGTTTGATAGAAAGTAGGACCAGTGACTTGAATGCAAATCACAGTGACAGAATGCTTTCACCAGTGGCGGCCGGCCCATAGGGGGCGCTGGGGCACCGCCCTCCCTGATAAGAAGAGAGAAAAGTAAAATATATTTTTAGAAATTAACTCATAAATGTCAGTTTTACTCTCTAGACTGTGTACCTATAAGCAAAACAGATTATATAAAGTACATTTCCCTATCTACTGTCATTAATTTGTGGATTTCCACAGACAGACTCCTACCGTCTCTGTTCTGGGGGCGCTGATCAGACTGACCCACATTTGCAGAGAATCTGTCAATCATGTACTATTGCTAGGTGAATTTAATGGCCAATCAGCGTCTCGGAACTTTATGGTATTGGGGCGCTGAAAATACTGCGCTTTAACAGGCTTCTGAACCCAAGCGCAGGTGCAGACAGTTAGAGGGAAGATGGCGAATGTAACGACCGAGATGCAGCTTCCACCAAATTCGGTGAGATCCTTATTTATCTACCCGTTTGCCAGAAGAATATCCCTGTTGTAGGATATGAACATTTCATGTCATGGTTATTGTGACTGTGACGAATCCACCTCGTCGCTTAAAACAACCTCTCTAACTTTGCGCGCCACACACACATTCCTGGTATACTGTGTTTGTGAGGACCAATACACTCGCGCTGAGACCAGTAGCTCCATGAACTTAAAACACACAAGCTGTTCCTGGTTACCTGCTGGCGTATTGAGGGTGCACACTTAATATTTCAGTGGGGTTAGCCGTGTGTGTGTGTGTGTGGGGGGGGGGGGGGGGGGGGGGTGTACGTGTTTATGCTACGGGGACTTGTCATCTTCAGTCTGGCTGCGTCTTTGCTGGGTTCAAACCCAGTTTGGTGTAATTGAATAAGTCAATGAATCTGTGTAAAAGAATTAAGTTGTAAAAATTATTTGTTTTTGTACATCAATTGTTTGTGGAGGTAATATATGGACAAAACTGATTAATGAGAAGAAATCAGAAATAAGAGAGCCTGAGGGTAGGGGCTTAAACTATTTAATGAGGGCTGTGGGAAGAAAAGCTGCAATTTTTGTTTTCTGTTTCTTTGTTACATTGCTGGTAACTGGAGGGAGGCTGAGGCCCAGAGTATCTTGTATGTTCAATAAATCACCAACACCGGTAACCCGACTGAGACTGGATTCTTGGAGGCCAAAGAACCCCGTCACAGTGACCCAAATCATCACTGTTACTGTTATTATATAGTAAATTAAATCATTACTGTTAAATTGTATGTATTGTCCAATTGTTTATTTGAATTCTTATTCCGGATTAGTTGGAGACATACACTAGGCTATATCAGCCCCACCAAAAATATTTTTCACCACCCGCCACTGGCTTTCACTACAAATCTATGGAAGGTTTTCAAACATCCCAGAGAGTGTCTACTGGGGCGGATCACACAGGTGTGACACTGAAACGCCCAGAAAACTGTGCCCTGTCACATGACCCTGGAGCAGTTCCCCTGCAGTGTGAAAGCTGCCTGTCCCAGCGTACCAAAAACAGGAGCCGAGGATGTGATGTAAGAAGGATGCATTTAAGTGGAAGAAGAAAAATAAGACAGAGCTCAAATCTAAAATAACAAAAGAAAAATGTCTCACGCTGCTAGAGTATTGAAGAGCTGCAAGCACAGAACTATACACCAAACAAACCCTCTGTAAATTGTTTTGCTCTGCTCCATCAGCTCAATAATTCCCCTCAAGCCATCTGTTGCACCAGCATGATGTTCTTAGGCCCAAACTAACAATCTCTCTGTGAAAGCAAACTCTGGAAAGTGAAGGTGTGCAATTTTTAACTTTAACTCTAACCTGGTCTGATCCCTGGACTGGACCAAACTGCCTCATTAGTGATCATAATGATCCTATCAGTGTAACTGTTCCAGCCCCAAGCCTGCTAAAGGACCATAACCCTGACCCCCTCAGGGGTTTCTTTTCTATCACCTCCTCTTTCCCCTCTGAACAAATGACTGCGTCTCAGTGGATCCATCTGAGAAACTCCTGAAGTCTGCAGATGACACCGCTCAGAATCTTCTGAAGCTTCATCGGCTAAAAGAAATTAAATCTTTAACGGAGAGCAACCCCCACGCCGTTCCCCCTCAGCATCTTCAACAACACTGTGTCCACTGTTCCTTGAAGTGTTTCTGCCACACAGACTGCTCAGAGAAAGACCCAGCAAAGACTGTAATCCATGCAGCAACTCAAACAAATCAACCTTCCACTGGAAGGTTATCCTCTACATCCACAGTATTCAGTCTGGTTCATGCATTTCCATCTGTGTGGAGTTTGGCTCATCTACAGAACTGGAAAGGTCCAAACTGTCATGACTAATCGGGTCTGCAGAAAGGATCATAGCTGCTGGCTTTCCCATCCATCAGCTGGACAATACTAGGCTCTAAAAGGAGCAACTAGCATCTCTACAGACACCACACATAGATATTTACCCTCAGGTCAGCGCTAAGGGTGCCATCTATTTGAACTTTTACAATCTGTTCACTTTTTAATGAAAAAAAAAATAAAAACATGCTACATGTGCTCACTTGTACATTCTGCTTTTAATCATGTCCTTTCTAACCCTTTCAGGTTTCTTTCTACACTGTGGTTGTAGTTTGAACTGTTTGTTAATATATGATATATGAGAGGATAACTAAAGCCAAATTCCTTGTTTATTTTATCAACTCATACTGATTCTGACAACAGGGAAGAGGAGGAGAACCGCTCACATGATGAAGATGGTGGTAGCAATGAGCGAGGCGGTGAAGAACCCTCGGTGGCAGTCGGCGTTTTTCCTCTGCCTCTGATGCATCTCACCTCCACAGTTGTCACAGCATCGACACATGCAGAAACAGGTGGCAACGATGGGGGTGAGGATCACAAACACGATCCCAAAGACCGCGCATATTAGGAATCCAGACTCATAGTGGATCCACTGCAGGGGAAAAGAAGATTTATCAGTAGACCGTTGGTTGCAGCTTTGGATGATATTATGGGAATAAATGACTTTACCTGTAGCAGCAGGACAACGTTGTCTGGCTGTGTAATCAGAGAGAGAGAGCCGTTGGAAAACAGAAAAAAAGAGATCACAGCAAAGACATTGTTTGCCTTTTGTTCAATAATTGAATAGAAGCAAAGCTCGTCAAAGATAAGATTTTATAAATCTTGATCCAAAACCTTTGAGCTTGAAGGTTATCCTTAGTGTATTGGCAGTTGCTGTTGTTTGTAATCTTTTAAAGTTGTCTTGATTTCAACCAGTGGGTGCTCCTTACTGTCTATCTGTTAAAACACCAATAACTGACTGACTAATTATTGGCAATTTTCACAAAGTAGTGATGCTACCAGAAATCTCAATAGCAGTTTATTGGGTTTTCATAAGATTTGAGGTAACCTTGCATCAACATGCTTTCAACCCTTTATTCAACCTGTATGAACTGTTTTGCTTGAAAAAGAAATCCAAATTAACTACCCAAGGTGTTAGTGATGTGTTAGTGATGCCACAAAAGGTGGAAAACCTGAAGAGGGTAAATATTTCTGTGATGATTTCTTTACTAATGACCACTGAGTAAAGGACATTTTTTAAATTGAATCATTTGGCTTGTAGTTTAAAGGGCCAAGGCCAATTTCTTGAGCTACATTGCAAAAAATCTAATCAAATAATTTTCGCTTAAAACAAGAGATTTTTTTTTCTTGAATTGAGAAGGTAAGTGAGACACTTTGCCAACAGAACGACAATTTATATATAAAATAAGAAAAAAACTATTGCATTGTCATATTTTAAGTGCATAATATCTAATTATCTTACTTTAGGAGTAAATATATTCATTCCATTGGCAAGTCATCTTATTTACCTACTGCAATTAGGGGGAAATACACTTAGTTTTAGAACTTTCTCTAGATTGTTTTTGTAGTGTAAATTTGGATAAAGACAACAGAAAATAACAGAGACAAATGTACCTGTAAAAAGATGATGTAATGTGTCTGCAATGTAATGAATCTCTAGATTTCTGTCCTTATGCAATGCTGTTTTTCTTTTGGAAAGTTGGTTTCTATATATTAAGCATGCATTCTACAGTATGCTGTTTACAGAAGTTGCATAACAATTTAGAGGAAACTAGCCTAAGTCTAAAAAATAACTTTAAAAGGCTTCCAGAAAAGCTGGAAAACAATCAGCCAAATACCAGAAACTCTGCCCAGATGACAGCAAAATAAAGTCAATCAAAACACAAGGTGCTTAGCTTTAATAAGGAATTGCATAAATTCTTACTGATGCTTTTAACTTGAAAACCAACATACCTTTCTCCATTCTTCTATTTTAATTCCTCCCATGTTTTGCTGTATGATTCTAACAATAAGATCTGAAACAAAAAAAATACAACATTAATGAAGTGCTTTAAATCTGTAAAAAAAAAAAAAGAATAAACACAGATTCAGACGCAGATCAACTTCAGTTTTTGGACGATAAGCGACACAGAAGTGGGAGGGGAAAAAATCCATTTATCTGCTCACAAACAGACAGGAAGGATAACATGGAATCAGTTTTTTTAATATCAGATGACAGTATTGTGATGATGTTTCCTCTTACGCCGAACAGCTGTGTGTTTACTGAGAGCTGTTTGAACCGAGCCAACCAGGACTTCAGATGAGCCCAGCTGTCTGTGTTTACTGTATCTAGGTCAGCTGACGCTAAGCCTACCTGCTGCACGTTGACTCACCCGCTCTGTTACTCAGCAGGTAAACTGATTCCCTCGCACACACGCTGCAAATGGGGCTAGGACATTTGCACACATTAAATGTACGGATTGTGAAAAAGTTGCTGATTTGTGGGTCTTGTTTTTCATAACACTTGTTTCAGATCATCCCACCCCTCTGGGGATAAAAAGCATGGATTGTTCATGCATTTATTTAGACTTAGACTAAGTTTATCATCATTTTGTGCACACAGGGTGTAAACTAGATAAAATTTCTTTTAGTACAGCTCTCAAGACATTTCCAAGACATTTTGTCAGCCTATAGTCAGCCCATAGAATATTTTCCCAATATTTTTCATTCATAAAGCAATCCAAACCAACCTGGTTTTTTCTTGAACATATATAACTGATTGTGCCTCCTGGGCTACAATAACATAATCAGTTGTTTAGGACTGATGGTAGTGAGAGTTTTTTCATTGCACTGGACGAATCTTGCATCTTCTGTGCAGAAATAATTTTTATTTCAGAGATATTGAAGGTTCTGTTTAAGGTCAGGCCACAGCATCTCAATCAAGGTGGACGTTTTATTATTATGACCCCCGGTACCATAAATTCCTGAGCTTGTTGTCACAAACTGATAGCCAATACATTTCCCTTTAATCACTGATCTGTCAATTCCAGCAAGTCATAGAATCATGAAGGAGAAAACATTATTCCACCATCTCTATGTTTGAGTGCAGTGCTGTGATTCCCAAATCTGTCCGCAGGGATCCCTGTTCTGCATAATTTAGATTTCTCCTTGGTGAATCAGACCAGGAAAGAGTGGCTGATAAACAGGCTTCTTCAGCACTTGATTGCAGAGGAGGAGCCCTAATTGAAATCAGGTGTGCTGGAACAGAGACATATCGTCGCTGTAGGAAAAAACCTTGTAACTCCCATTTTGGACTATTTTTTTTTTTTCATAAATTGATACAATTGGTCAGTCCCCACGTGTGAACGTATGTTTTGGAAAATATTAACCAATTAAAAGTGTTGAAAAAAGGTTGGGACTTAATCTCGTTACTCCATTGGACTTTTCCGCTGTCGCTGTTTTTACAATTTCATGTAAACTTTATGGTTTTGGACATACGAGGTTTCCGTCAGACAGCGACGATATGAAACATGCAGGGCAGGGGTCCCTGAGGACCAGGGATGGGAACCATTGGTATGGGTCTTTCTTGTTTTTGTTTTCTACAGCGCTGTTAGGAAGCACACCTTCTACAAACTTCCACTCGTCTCATCAGCCCATAAAATATTTTTAACCCTAACCTTTGTGTCCCTTTTGGTCAGCAGTAATTTTCATCTTTGATGTCACCGTAGCCCAGCTTTTCTTTTTAATTAACTGTTTCATTATGATCACTAAGGTTATAAGGGCTTTAGATATTGTTCATGTTTCCTTTATGATCTTCAGAGGGAGGAAGGGAAACCAAAACTTATACTCAAGTAAGATGTGTGTGAAATAGCATGAAAAATGGGAATCTGGGGAACTACTCATGTTCAGGACTATGGAATTGAAAAGGGTTATAATTACATCATTTTAAATTCTTCTTTCACTGAATGAGGTTCAGGTAAGAACTTCTAAACATTAGTTTATGTCACAAAAAAAGTTTAAATCCACCCAACTAGAGGAAGAAGTTTACAGTTCAAATAAGTAAATAGGAGGGGGGAAAAATGAAAGAGAAACAGAAAAGATGAGACAGGGGAAGGAAGACAGGTTTTTAGGAACAAAAAACAAACAAAAGTAATGATAACAGTAAGAGAAAGCAGGACACAGTAAATGTTAGCAACAAAAATAAGATTTGGACATACAAGACTTGATCAGACACTTAAAGGTGTAGAAGAACAAAACAGAAAGTTGTGATAATTGCATGTGTCATTGCAGGATCAAACCATACATGTTATATTGCAACGTGTGAAATGTGAGCATGAATTAAGATTTATAGTATAGAATTTAAAAAGCTTTTGAAAAAAGAATAACATTGCCAGTGAGCTCATAGATGGTATAGGACAAACATTTACTAATTACTAACTTAGGTTTTTTCATGACAATATTGATTAATATAACCTGATACTCTAGTAGGCTGTATACATAAATACACTTAAGACAATAAACCATCATTATGATTATTATGATTATGACTCCAGACCAGATGATTGTAATGCATGCCTTCAGGTTTTTAATAACCCCTCAGAATAAGCAGATGAAGAGGAGGATTTACAGCTGATTTGGTTCCAGGACTGACAGCACATTACATTAAGAAATCTCATCTTCTTTGTTCCAGTTGTTGCAGAAACAGCAGCTTGCCAAAGGTTACTAGCTCCACACTGAACGTGTAACAACTGTTACTGTGGAAATGCACATGCTATATTGGCTGTGTACGTAATATAAATGGTTTGTTGCATAATTACAACAATGGGCATCAAGGGATAAAAATCCCTCTTTAATAACAGACTTGTATTGTTTTTTTTTTTTGTTAATTTTCATTAACTGATTTAGATCTGGAGAAACTAAAACCGGGGGGAATTTGGGAGTTAATGTTCACATCAATGCAGATACACCAAAACATCTCTCCACTTTTTATTTAGCAACAGAATAATTTATGTTTCATTCATTTTAAAAATCAGACCCTGCTGATTCATCATTAAGTGGGTAAAATCACCGGATCACATAAAATAACATTAAAAAAGTACATTTCTGAGCAGAACTATAAAAAAAAAAATTTAATTTTTTCTTTGATTAATTCATTTAAATCCAAAAAAATGCAGAAGGAGAAAATAAATAGAACAGCAGATGGAGACTGGTCTAGCAGATTAATGCTGACACAGTTGTCACAAAGACTCACCATCAGTAACTCCATGGGAGTAAAAATAGACTTTAGGGTAACTCCAACAATGCTTAACAACAACCTTTTTACACTACAAAATATTACAATTCCTTGCACCCTTTACCTTTAGGTCCCAACATGTTCATATCTTCCATTACGTTTTTTTGGTTTTAGTTGCACTATAACACTATTTTTAAACATACTGCATTACTAGATTAACAGAGTTGTTTACTTTTGTCACACTATTTAAAGAAGACATCTGGGAATATGTTGCAGCTCTGTCTATAAATATTCAGGAGCTGCACCGATCAAGTGGTCACAGATCGAAATCTATCCCTCAATCTGTTTCTTACTGAAGTTTAAGCAGCTCTTATCAAACAAAAGAAAAGATGCACTGCCTAAGCTCCCTGGCTGAAAAAAAACTAGAAAAAAAACAAAATTAAATTCAATGGCAGAGAGCCCTTTATCAACCTTCCAATCTGACAGTTCACCAATTAAAGAGCCATCCACACATTTACAGTTGACACACTACAGAAAACAGTCAACTGAAAAACATGACAGAAATGTATGAAGATAAGGTAATCAGGAAGGCTGAGTCCATTTTGGATAATTATACCCATCCCCTACACAACGAATTGCAGTTTCTATCCTCTGGTTCCCGTTTTAAATATCCACCAGTTCGGACCAACAGATACAAACACTCCTTTATTCCCTCTGCTGTTCAGCTGCTAAACTCCACTAGGAAAAGCAGATAGCCATATGTTGCATGCATATAGGCCTATGCTCTCATTCATCCCCTGCACTGCACATATATATTTTTTTTCTCTCTCTTTTATCCACCTTACTTTTATCTTTTTAAAATATTTTTATGTGTTTCTTGTTTTTCTTCTTTTATTTTATTTTTTATCTGTGATTTGTGAAATGTGAACGTGTGTGTGAAAGGTGTACTACTACTGCACAAAAATTGCCCATACTGGGACAAATAAAAAGCTACTGACACTAAATTTACCTGATTAATGCTGACAGTTAACCCAGCTGCAGATGCTAAATTAAAGAACTATTTAAAGAATGTTTGTGTTTAGCACATTTTTTCTATTTCTTGCCAATAGTCTTTTTTCTTTTCTTGCAAGAAAACACACAGACACATAGTTTTTTAAATCATCCTACTCTCATTTCTTTGATCTCAGCATAGCATTTTTAATAACTGTAAAGGATTTTCTCTTATTCTTACTCTCTACTTTTATGTTTTGAACTTTGTGTGAAGCTGCAGATATACCTGAATTACCCACAGAGGGACATAGAGGATATTTCTCCTGTGTTCAATTAACGTAGTTCTCATTTGAAACACATAAAAAAGGTTCTCCTTCCAGTTTTCTAGATCAATCAAAACTAAGAAAATTATTCAACATTACTTACATGATTTCAGCTTTACAAATCAATTGACATTGTGTTTTCTTGGCCCTACTGGCCTTCATTTGATGGTATTCTCACAGGATATGGGTTTGAGAGAAAGAAGACTTGCAGCAAAGGGTCCACATGCCAAGACATGGACAAGACTCAAATCCTGCAGTGCCAGACGTGTCCCCCTGCTTAAGCCAGTACATGTCAAGGCCCGTCTCAAGTTTGCTAGAGAGCATTTGGATGATCCAGACGATGACTGGGAGGATATCATATGGTCAGATGAAACCAAAATAGAACTTTTTGGTAAAAACTCTACTCGTCGTGTTTGGAGGAGAGAGAATGCTGAGTTGCATCCAAAGAACACCATACCTACAGTGAAGCATGGGGGTGGAAACATCATGC